TGGGCGGTGATATAAATTTGATTTATAAATAAATAAATAAATAAATAAATAAATAAATAATTTTACTGTGTGAAGAATTATGAATTTATCAAGCCCAGGGGGAATAGCAAAAAACAATACTTGTTACTGCGGGAAGGGTAACAATATCCCAGATTTCTAGTCAGACTATAGACACATGTTCCCTTTCTTTTTATAAGATAGCTCTTTGTCATACATACATACACACACATAAGCACATAGTATTACCCTGCTGTTCTGTGTCAGAGTAAATAGTACAACTAAAATAGTTTATTTTTAAATTACTTTAAAAACCAAAGCAATTAAAGGCAAGAGATTAAAAAAGGAACTTTAGCTAAACCTAGTTTACATTAACTCCATTTGGTCTACCTCTCCATACCTTTCTATCCTTGCAAACCATCTTTGCTTCACCACATCCATACATAGCTTCATACATTGCCTTTTGTTCTTTAGGCTCTTTGTGTAATGGGAAGAATGATTACTATTCTGTGTTTAATCATTTGTTTAAAAATTAGATCATATATTTTCTTGTATGCAACATAATTTTTATTGTCCTTTTTCCCTTTTCAGCCTGTTATGTGTTTTTCATTTCTTTTTTTAATGTTAAAGCAAAACTAAAAATAATTTAATATAAATTAATAGTGATACCTTGACTGGGGCTTTTTGTGAATTCTCAGGATTTGATGAAAAGTCTGTGCAGCAAACCATTTCAACTAACATCCCATTTTGATTTCCCAGCCACATTCCTTATCAAAGCCAGCCCCCTCCCCCCTCCTCCTCCTAGCATTTTCCCACAAGTGCAGGGTCTGTTTTTTGGATCAACGAACACCATGTCACGCAATTGAATACAGCAACTGGGTAATCTTCATGTCCGCATCAATTGTGTCCTGCCACCTTTGCTTTGGTCTTCTGTGCAGGCATTTGCCATCCTCCTCCCTATTTATCTCATGTTTGTATAGCCACCCATCTCACATGATGACGGTGGGTGGCATACATAATAAAACAGTCCAAATACATAATAACCATTAAAGCAACCAATTTAAATTAGAAATATAAAAAACAAGAATAAGGTACAACAATTTGGGATTCTAGACTGCAGAGTAACTGAACATTTTTTCCTTTTCTTCTGTATTCCTGAATATTACTTACTACCAGGGACACCTGTATGAGGTAGATAGGTTCTACGGCACCTCCTTTTCTTTTTCAGCACTCTTTTCCAGCATGTATCCTGCTCCACTTTCTCAACTTCAAGCCACTCTTGTGATAATAAACCTTCAGCAGTATAAACACTTTACAGTCTAGTTCAGATTGTACTGAACAGCCCACGTTGTTCTTTATTAAAATCATAGGTCTTCAACATCCACAGCTTTCTTAGTTCATCTTGGCTGTAAGCTCCATTCCAGTTTTCATTTCCCAGAGTTGTTCTGGTAATTTAAGATGCTGACTCTATTGCCAGACCAGTAGCCCTTTTTCCTCTGGGAATTTTTCCTATGTGAAAATAATTTAAACCCCTAATCTCAGCTTCCGTTATCAACAAACTAGCAGAAAGTGTCGATTTGGATTTCTGGGTGGATACTGAGCAGGCAGTAGGGAGCCATGACTGAATGTAGGCTGTCACAAATATAATAATAAAAAACTTGGTTGATTCTGAAGGGTACTTATTTTTTTCAAATGATTATCCGTATGCACTTACTGACTCTATTTGTAAATTCACAATTGAAATATTTACAGCAATAGATTAAAACAAAAAGTACATGTTATCAAATCCCAAATCACGGTGAAGTTATCTACCAGATTGTCACATATTTCTCTTAATTTTTTTCTTCCCCGTTGAACTGTGTCGATTGCCAGATAAAGAAACGTTCTGATGAGTAGAGCAGAATAGGATGGTATGCCTTGGATTATTTAATTATTTACATATTTATTTACTTATTTGATTTATATCCTGCCCTTCATTCTCAAGGCAGCATACATAGAGCTCCACTCCCCTATTTTTCTCAAGCAACAGCTGTGTAAGATGAACTGAGAGTGAGTGGCCCATAGCACTCAGTGAGCTTCCATGGCTGAGAGTGGGTTAAAACCTGGGTCTCTTCCTGCTTCTAGTCCAACATCTTTACCACAGCACTACATATTTGCTGTTACAATGTAGGGTATTGTCAGGCAATTCAGGGATTTAAAAAAATCTTGGTAGAAGAACATTTTTAGCAGAGTTCTACTAGTTGCTGTTTTGCTCTGCATTCTCATGATTAGACATCTGTTTCACCAGATGTATTGTATAA